GGGGAGAAAAAATTTTTAGACTTTAATGTCACTTTAATAAAGAAATATTACAGTAAAGAGATATAATTCATAGTTTGTAAACACTTCATCAACTTTGATTTATAATATTCTGCAAAGCGACCCTCACACAGTAATTAGGAATGGGGGGGATTCTAGCCATCTCTACCATCATGATTGATGAATAACATATGTGCAGCAAATAACTTAAAGGAGAACTATGAGGGGATTGCTTTTCACTCATCCTCATAGTTCTAGCCGACCTGTGACAATGAGACTGTCACAGGTCGGCTCAGTAGATCGGGAGGTGAGCGAACACATACCGGCGTTCACTCACCTCTCGATCCTGTCACAGCTCTCTACCGTGACAGGGGAGGGGCTGGATTCCCCTCTCCTCCAGCACTGACTGGCGGAACGGACGGGGGAGGGGTCGGGTACAGCTGGCTCTGCCTCTAGATAGGCAGAGCCAGCTGTCACTCACGCAGCTGGGTGGATCTCGACATCGATGTCGGTATCCGCTCCGGCTGCAGCGTCTCAGTATACCGCGAGCTGTAGTTCTCGATATACTGAGCTTAGGGTGATGGGAGGACGCTAGTTTGTGTCCTCCCTTTACCCTAAGGAGAACTATGGGGAAAAGCCCTGACCTCATAGTTCTCCTTTAATCATATAGTATTACATCTTTCCAGACTTTATAAGACAGCTTATGTACATTCCCAAACTGAACAAATGAATATATAGAAAATCAATCATCACTTATGTCCTTCGCAACTATACAATCCCTATATGAACAATACCCTATAAACATTATTAGCATTGTTACTTATATTCTAACACAGACCATCGGTACCCCACCTACTTAAGGGTCAGATCGCAATGGCATTTTAAGTTTTTCAAGGTGTCTCAACTCCAATCTCGAGAACCACAGTGAAATCTATTATATACTGCGCTTGGTATGTGAAATAAAGAAATAGGTGAAATAATTGAAAACAACTATATATCCTATATTAATATGTGACCGTGAGCTATTGCATACATCTCTTGTGCATGTGTCCTGCACAATCCACCCAGCTCGTCTGAGGTCGGCTGGTGATGGGGGTGGGGCCGCTCTGTGCTCTCTGCAGATGGGGCAGGGCCGCTCTGTGCTCTCTGGTGATGGGGGCGGGGCCGCTCTACCCCCATCACCAGCCGACCACAGACGAGCTGGGTGGATTGTGCAGGACACACGCTGTCCTATGAAAGATCACAGAACAAGGAGTCCAGGAGAAGGAGTTTTCCCTCTTTTTCTTTGTTAAAAATTCCACCTACCATCTGGGGACATCTCGGTGGACGGATATTACAACCATCCGGTACATGAGGGGTTACCCGGAGGGGAAGGAAGGATCGTTGCTTCACCAGGTCTTTCACATCCAGAACTAGGAAACGGATGAGAGAAAATAACTAGAAGAAATCGGTGAAGGGACCCTCTCAAAACTCACTTCTTTAGTGGATCCCAGGATAAAATCAAGGACTGATAAGTACTCTCATTCCTCACAAATTACTGCTCGCAAGTCGGGGCGAGATCGACCTATGTGAGGACATACTAACGGTGTCAGGATATACAAAGGACTTGCTGATTTTTTGCTCACTGATTGGAATTATACCCCAGGTGTAAGATTATATTCTGAGACCAACTTCCCTTGGGGATTTCGGGCAAGTAGATCAAAGCATTTAACAGCTGAATGGTTTAAAGGAGAACTATGGGGTCAGGGCTTTTCCCCATAGTTCTCCTTAGGGTAACGGAAGGACACAAACTAGCGTCCTCCCGTCACCCTAAGCTCAATATATAGGGAGCTACAGCTCGCGGTATACTGAGACACCGCAGCTGGAGCGGATCACAACTTAGATGACGGGATCCGCCCAGCTGCGTGAGTTAAAGCTGGCTCTGCCTATCTAGAGGCAGAGCCAGCTGTACCCGCCCCCTCCCCTGTCCGTTCCGCCAGTCAGCGCTGGCGGATCGGAGCGGGGAGGGGGGAATCCAGCCCCTCCCCCTGTCACGGCAGAGAGCCGTGACAGAATCGAGAGGCGAGCGAACCCGGTATGTGTTCGCTCACCTCCCAATCTACTGAGCCGACCTGTGACAGTCTCATTGTCACAGGTCGGCTAGAACTATGAGGTGAGTGAAAAGCACTCACCTCATAGTTCTCCTTTAAGAGGAAAGCCCCCTCTCATTCGGTGTCTCCACTTGACCTTTTTTCTTTTTATATATATATTGTTTGTTGCATTACTTAGAAGATTGTTCTATATTGGTTTGTCATATTGTTGTGGTGTGCCATATCGTTTATACCCACAAGCTTATAAGCGGGACAGAAGACTTCACCACAAGTTTACACTATAACTGGTTTAAACACTAGTAATAAAAAAACTTTTTTCCTCCTAAGGATTGGGGGAAACAACACTCAGTCCCACCTTTCTATTTAATAGCCTTTATTAACACAAGAGAGTATTTGCAAAGTAAGAGCTCACACAGGCTTTTCGGAAATCATTTATTCATAGAAGGAATCACTGTATCAATTCAATTCATTCATTAATCAACAATGTAAGAGATATATGCAATAGCTCACGGTCACATATTAATATAGGATATATAGTTGTTTTCAATGATTTCACCTATTTCTTTATTTCACATACCAAGCGCAGCATATCATAGATTTCAACTCCAATCTCCACCCCATGGTATTTAATATAGCTTTTTTTCATGTACCCATTTTTCATGTCTTTTGGCTGGCAGGTGACATGCCGGGTCCTCTTCTGAACTTGGTGGTCCTAGATAATGAATAAAGCAGCATCAGCACCGTTTCCTTACATCAATATACTGCGTAAGGTGCCGTGCTTAGAGACAGGAACTATGATATTCTACACTGACAATCTTTCCTGAGTGTCACTAAACCCGGAGGACTGAGGACATCTTGTGACCCAAAAGGGGTACTGCTGGGGACAACTTTTTTATCACCTAGAGATATTTAAAGGGAAGAAATAGAAGTAGGGACCTATCTGCATATATGGTGGACTTGCTGTATTGTTGCTAAGTTTTGGTCCTCAGTTTTCCCTTGCGATCATAAAATGACCATCTCCAGTAGAAGTCCATCTGCTAAGGTGGCTCTTCTGTCTATAATTCCAGGGTCCCTCTCCCGGACTTAAGAAGGGAATTTTGCAACATTACTTGTTAGCAGCTAGAGTAGCTGTCTCTAGGTAAGTCTGTTCAACCCCTGAGTATCTTAGTGTGGGCAGAGATGATGAATTATATCTATAGTATGGAAGACCTAGCGGCATCCAGTCACAATAGATCTGAGAAGGTTTCAGAGACCTGCCCCTGCTGGTTGGCCTTTTTAGAGCATTTGAACAAATGCTCTGCCCGTGAATGTCCACCTACTTGGCTAAAGGTAGATTATTGTTTGTTAGATTTTGTCTTCCCTTGTCAGAGCACAATGAAAACCAGACAAGCATAAGGTGCTAGTAAAATGTTTATTAAGAATAGTGTACACAGGAGCAAGCAAAAATCGGAACAAGCCAAAGTCAGGAGCCGGAGTGGGTAGTTGTACAAGCCAGGTCAGGAACACAAAGATCAGCGTTGTCAGGAACAAGCCAGGAGCAGTAGCCAGAGGAGAATGTCAGCCAGGATCTGGTCATACACAGAATTAAAATACTCAAAGCAGCAGGAATGCAAGTGCAAGGTCAGATTGGACTGAGCCGCTTATATAATGAGTGGGGTGACATCATCACTCAGAGACAGGAAACTCCCATCTGGCTCTCTTAGATGATGCTCTCTTCCAGAGTCTGCTCAGGCAAAGGAGGAATCACAGGTGGGTTAAATGGCAGCCAATCCAGAATGCAGCAAACCAGATAAGTCAGGGTGGAACCCTCAACTCCCTGGGGTTGGGGCCATGTCAACTATGTTCTACTTCCTTCGCTTGTTCTCGTTACCTTTTCTGGTTTTTTTCCTTTCACTCCTCCTCTCCCCCTCTTTCTTATTGTCCCGCGTGTCCTTTCTTGAACATTTGTTACTTTAGTTCACATTTTTTTTTACTAGATGACTCCTTGACTCTCTCTCTGTCTCTCATAGACTTCATTTTGTGTTTCTTTACGCCTATAGTAACGAGTCTTTGTTACGGTTTGTTTTTGGTTACTTCAAACTGACTATTCCAGTGTCTGAGGAACACTCGTTCCTATTGTTTATATTGTTTTCGTTACTTTTGTAAGATGCAAAACCTTTAATAAATAGATATTGACCTGAAAAGGAAGACATAGCTTGTAATTGGGATTTAAAGTCCCACTCCATCATTTTTTTGGCTGGAGTAAGGAAGGGTAAGAACTGATGTATTGCTTTCTGTGATGACATGGTGGGTGTTACCCCTCATATGTTCCACCTCACAACTCTAGTTATGCCTTGCATAATATTTTTTTTTTAGGTTTTATGTACTGTTCTAGGGAAGTTAGAAATTGAAAAAGATTTGGGGGTCATAGTAGACCACAGATTGAACAATAGCTTGCAATGCCAGGCTGCGGTAAACAAAGCAAGCAGAGTTCTGTCTTGTATTAAAAAAGGAATGTACTCGAGAGACAAATCTATAATGTTGCCACTTTATAGATCGCTGATTCGGCCTCATCTGGAGTATGCGGTCCAGTTTTGGTCACTGTCAGGAGAGCCACAAGTTTGACAGGAACGGAGTGGAACCCACTGGCAGAAAATGGCTGAAAATGTCCAAAGGCAAAGGTACAAAAGGGATAATCCAAAGACAAGTCAAGTCCAATCCGAGTCGAGGCAGGCAGCGAGGGTTCAGGGGCGAAAAGACAGTCCATGGTCGGCAACAGGGGGTCCAGATAAAGGGTCAGGAAGCAAAGCAGGATACACAGATGGGGAGCTAGGTAATCACACCATAGGGTGGAATAACTCAGCAACAAGCCAGAGCTCTGGCCAGGTTTTTATAGCCAGGGAGTGTAAGACAACCCCCTGGTCACCGAGGCAACCAGGAGGCCTCCCTACCCGAGAGCCAATGGCAGGAGCGAGTGGTGGAAGATGTGTGCTGGGAACCTCCTCCAGCAAGGCCCACACCTGACAGCCCTAATGGCGCAAGTGCGCTATGTGCGCTTTTCCGGAACTGCGCGCACAGCCCGAGTGCCGCGCACCTGCAACCTGGGCGCCAGGAATTCGGGCGGACTGGAGGGGACCCCCGTGCCTCCATGCCCGTTGACCCCGAAGAGTGGTAATAACCCCTGCATCCTGACAGTCACCAATACACAGAAAGGATGTCCTGGAGCTGGAAAGAGTCCAGAGAAGGACAACTAAACTAATTAAAGGGCTGAAGGACCAAAGCTATGAGACAAGGTTACTAAATCTAAACATGTTCACGCTGGAAGTGAGGAGATTAAGGGGGGACATGATTTTGATGTACAAGATGTTCAATGGTGATAGCAACATCAGCCACAAACTTTTTACGGTAAACTCCATAACAAAGACTAGAGGCCACCACCTAAAATTGGTGGAGAAAAGATTTAAGCACAAGGGGCTTCTTTTTAGTTACAGTGGTTAGGGTCTGGAACTCTCTGCCACAAGCAGTGGTATCAGCTGTGAGTGTTGAATCATGCAAAATGCATTTGGACAATTTCCTTAGAGACCGTAACATACAGAGGTACAGGTACCCGAAAAAATAAGATCACACGGGAACTTTTTACACACGCATACACATGCAGAATCATGAACATACACACAATAGGTTGAACTTGATGGGCCTGTGTCTTTATTCAGCCTCGAATACTATGTAACTATGTAAGTATATACGATAAATGCCAGTGCCACTGTAAAGTGTACCGTGCACACAGTATGTTTTTAATATAGCCTATTTCCTGGCCATCTAAAAAATAATTAAACCATTATTTATGTAATGCATTAAACAGATTTTTTTGCAATGCATGTTTGATCTCTTTATTCCTCAGGGCATATATCAATGGATTTAACAATGGCGTCAACACTATGTACAGAACTGAGCGGACTTTGTTAACATTTGAGGAATAGGTTTGTGAGGGATTGCTGTACACAGTGATTATGGTCAGGAAGTAAGTGCACACCACAAGCAGGTGGGCGCTGCAGGTAGAGAAGGTCTTCTGCCGGCCTTGAGCAGAAGGAATCTTAATGATGGTGATGAGAATACGGATATAGGAAGATATGATGAACAGGAACGGGAGAAGAACTACATGGAGTGAGGATATGAAGGTTTCTGTCTTTACAATGGAGGTGTCTGAGCAGGAAAGTTCCAAAACTGGAGCAAGATCACAGAAAAAGTGGTCTATGATATTTGGCCCACAGAAATGCAGTTCATGCATGAGAACTGCTGGTAAAACCGTCACACTTAAACTTGTAAACCATGATGCAGTAATGAGACATTTTTGGAGCTTGATGTCCATAATTTGGGAGTAATGCAATGGTTTACAGACAGCCAGATAACGATCGTAGGACATCACCGTCAGGAGGAAACATTCCATGCTGCCAAGCACTCCATAGAAGTAGAACTGGGCAATGCATGCATTTAAGGATATTGCTTGTTTACCACGTGCAATGATGCACAACATGTTGGGGACCACATTTGTCGTAAACATGATGTCCGACAAGGCAAGATTAGACATAAAAACATACATTGGCGATTGAAGATTTCTGTATAAACACACCACCATAATAATAAGTGCATTTGCATTCACTGTTGATAAATACAAAATAAAGAAAAGAAGGAAGAGGGCAATTTGTACATTACGATCTCCATCAAAACCCTGGAGGAAAAATTCCTTAACAGTTCTGTTATTTGTCTTCATTATTCCTGAGAAGGGGAAGCAAGATAAAAGTGAAACCTTTAAATACATGAAAGACGTAAATGAGGTTCAGGAGGACAGGACTTTCAATATGAAGCTAAGACCCGGACAAGGAAGCATTACCTGAGGCTACAAGGAGGAAAGTTCAAACCTAACCTCAGATAGTAATTGTTAGTACATTTAAACTTGGGACAAACATAGGTCTATACTCAGGTAAAAAAACAAAAAGGAAACAACAAAAAATGTAAAAAAGACTCGATTGGCCTATTGGTCTTTTCTTGCCATCACTTGTCTGTGTTTTTATGCTTCTAGAGGGGTAAAAATCAAACAAGTTGAAAGCAGAATGAGAAATACCATTAGAAAATAGTTCAGAATAAAAATCGGCAAACTCCCACTGCACCAGAGTGATATAAAATCTAAACCCCAAAACAAAAATATAATATTTTTCCGCTTACCAGTCCTCAGGTGTGGAGGCTGCGTTTATTTTCTTTTTTTCAGGTTAAGAACATTTTCAGAAACTAAAGAAAATATTTGTTTAATCGAGTTGGAAATGTAGTTTCCTTGTCACTTCCTGTGAAATAAACTGAAAGGGCAACCCTTACTTCCTCCCAAGCTATCTTCTGTTAACTAATCACTTCCCTGCCCTTCCTGTAATGGAGTTGAAGAAAGAAAGACATGTCTGTAATTTAATCAGTGGAGTCAATTCATAGATACAGTACAGTGTAGTGAATAAGTGTAGCTACTAGGGATGCACCGATACCAAGTACCGTACTCAGTGCAAGCAGAAGTACAAGTACACATACTTTTCGCGCTCCAAGACTAGACTAGAGAAACATTCAGAAGTTAGGAGGCCGCTGTCATTTGTAAGGATTATACAGAGCTCCTGGGATTTGTACATCTCTGTTTTAATGTATGATTTTGTTTTTCTAATTATAAAGAAAGGGATGCACAGATACCAGTTTTGCAAGTACGAGTGTAATGGATGTGGTTAAGTATGATTATGACAAAATGTCTATCTCAATAGATCAATTGTAATATATATGTTATTTTGCTATTTGCTTGTCCACCTTACTCAAAACCTTACTCAAAATGGCTGCTTAAGCACCCCCTCCCCCTCATATCCGAAGTACGCACTAGAAATAGGAACCAAGATGCCGCCTCCTCTTCAGGAAAACACCCAAGACAAAGCTATAAACATCCTGGCAGGAAGTTATATATGAATGGATCTAACCAATTATAAGCTAGAATGCTTTCTGCAATGCTGCTTTTTGCAATGCTACGGTTAAATATACACGTTCAGCTGCCTATATAAAACTATGTTAAAGCGGAAGAATAAAGCAGAAGTATCTTACTCTGAACTAACTCCTGTCTCAGCGTGAATTCTTCTCTCTGAGTGTACACTCTATTGCATCAGGCCAGGCGGCAAATATAAGTACGGAACCTTTAATCCGGTCCAAATTTGTGATCAGGTCCACAACACGAGTACTGATACATTTTTGTTTAGTGTCATGTGACAGTTTTCCTAAAACAATACAGAATAATGATTTCAGGACAGTGGTGGAGTGCCAGAGCCAGGTCCCAGCTGCAACCGCTGCAACCCTGGAAGATCTCATGAAAATGGCAAGTATCGGCAATGGTACTCGAAAAGTATCGGTGCATCCCTAGTAGCTACCCTAGGACAGGAAGTGTGTTGTTTGCAGGATCACCAGATATAAATAACAGGAAAAAACCTGAAAAAAAAGAAAATGAATGCAGCCACCAAATGTAAGCGCTGGTAAGCTGCAGTATATTAAAGTGACACGAAACTCAGGAGTTAAATCTTAAAAATGCATTCAAGTACCTTAACTATTAACAACAATGTATCTTATTTGTGTATCACTCAGTTGAAGATCCTCAAATCATCTCTGAATTGGTGCTGACACTGTCCTTCCTTCTGGAGGGGGGCTATTTTTGTTCCCCAGGGTCCCTGTGTGTGTTGTAAAGTAGTCACCGCTCCAAGCTCACTTCTTGATCGACTACAGTCTTAGGTTTAGTTGACTAACTTGTATTGAGATTGTAGTCCATCACGGGAGAGAGCTTGGAACTGTGACAACTTTACAACACACACAGGTATCATTGGGAACAAAAGTAGCCACCCTCCAGAAGGAAGGACAGTGAGAATATATGAGGATCTACAGCCAAGTGATACACATACAAAATATATTTTTGTTAATAGTTAAGATATTTGAATGCATCTTTACTCCTATTCAATGCATTTTAAACTCCTTAGTTTGGTGTCACTTTAAAGTGTTCCACTGCTTGTTTAGAACATGTGGATACTATAGTGAGCTTAGTCTGGATATAGTTTCACTTTAAGCTTTTCACAATCTAAAAAAAAAAGTTAACAGACTATTACTCAGTAATTTTACAAAGAAATATTACATTACCCCAAACTGTGGCCATTTTAAATGACTATTTATAGTGTCCAGGAACAGAGAGGCACCAGAACTTCTAACACAGTCAAAGATAGCCTTCGGTTTTCCACTGTTGAGTGTCCAGCAATAGAAACATGAATGTAAAATCAATTTTTAATCACACTGTGGTCTTGGTTTTGTATAGGATTCACATCCAGCACTAAGGGTGCACTTCACCTTTAAAATCACTAGTGTTATAGGATTATATTTGATATGATTATAGTATATAGGAACATCTACAGTACATACCATCCATAACAACAGTTCCAGTCTGCTTTATAGGCCTTTGTTACGGCAGCTCTTCTGCATGATAGAAATGATCGGGACTTCAGAAATAACCTTTATTTATAGCACCCAGAGCCATGTCTGATACCGATGGGAATTCAAATCTCGTGATGCTTTTCATTCTTTGTGTTCTTTCATTAGGATAAAAAATATATTATTATTATTTCAAGTAAGATGTGTTCATTTTCCTCATTTAATTTAAGCGGAACTCCAGTTTAGAAAGATGTAAATAAAAAATAAAAAAATACTCTTGCTGCAATACTAACCTTGTCTCCAGCACTGTCCCCGGCAGAAACTCTTCTACCTTTCCTTTTCTTTTGTAAGCCCAGGCTATCATGGACAAACCCCCTAGGGGGGGTGTCTCCAGGTTGTCCTGGGTACTCAGTTTAATAGTGCATAAAGTGGCACTGACAATGCTGGTCTGTAAAGTTTTAAAGACACCCACCTCCACTAGGAGACGAGGACCCAAGAACATCACGTGACTGGCCTGAAAACTGCTTGATATAAATTATGAATAAGGGGTATTAAAAAAAAGAAATATACAGGGGAGGGGATTTAGGAACACCAGCCAATAATAATATAATAAAAACAAAGAGCCAGGTAAAAGATAAAATAACAAAACCAGGTTTGCTGCACTATTAGGCCTCAATTTGGAGATTTTCCCACATTACATTGTTGCAGCAACTATATGTCTTCAGTCTGATGGCCAATATCACCCAACCCACTTTCCCTAAGTCCAAGTTATCCTGGACCTGTCCCAGCCTGATACTGGGCAGTGAAAAGAGAAGCAACACTGCAATGAGATCATCTGTCTGTCACCCTGCTATCTTCTACTAGCACATGAACAGATTGGCTCCTTGTGCTGCTTCTTCCTCTCCCACTCCAGGCTTGCTGTACAGGGACTCCAAGAGGCTTATATCAGGTCACACTTAGGTGCTAACACTATTTATATGTAAAATGCATTTAGTGTTGTATTAAAAGAGAACTATGGGGTTAGTGTTTTTCCCCATAGTTCTCTTAAGGGTCACAGGAGGACATATACTAGCGTCCTCCCATGACCTGAAGCTCGGTATATCGCAAGCTACAGCTCGCGGTATACTGAGACCGTCGCAGCCGGGACGGATCCCGACATTACTGTCAAGATCCAACCAGCTGCGTGAATGACAGAGGGGTCTGCCTATCTAGAGGCAGAGCCAGCTGTGCCTGCCCCCTCCCCCGTCCGGTCCAGTCACCGCTGGAGGATCGGAGTGGAGAGGGGGGATCCCTGCGGGGAGTGGTGACTGACAGTCACGGCTCTCTGCAGGGCGATGATCGAGAAGGGAGAAAGCGATGGTAAATGTTCGCTCACTTCCCGATCTATTGAGCCGACCTGTGACAGTTTGATTGTTACACGTCGGCTCGAACTATGAGGATGAGTGATTTTCACTCACCTCATAGTTCTTTCTTTAATAATTAAAGGCCTGCATTCATTTGTTATGAATTATAGGGAGAAAGAGTCAGGCTAGGTTCACTCCTAGGCGATTTATCGGGCAAAAAATGGATTCGCATTGAAGTCAATGGAGGCTGTTCACACCTTTGCGGTCTGTCACTCAGACAAAATCGCCTGTCCCGCAAAAAGGTACAAGAGCTATTTTCGGGCGGTTGTCATGTGATTTGGGTCCCATAGACATCTCTATGCATTGAAAACCGCCCGACAACTGCAAGATTTTCAAAGAACAGGCGTGCAAACGAAAACGTGCGAAAACAGCTCACCAGCTCAGTCGTTTAGGTGTGAACCTAGCCTAAAGGCCTCAGGACCTACTGCTACTTAAAGCTGAACTCCGAGCCCAAAAACGTTTGTTAAAATATAATCTCTGGATTATGTATAATATTTTGATTCTTTTACATCTGACTGAAGTTACCAACACACACAGTGGTGAAGCTCAAATGGCCACAGCAGCCTTTTATTAACAAACCAGTATAAAAAACATAATTATTAATAACAATAACCAGACCATGAGAAATATCAAGTTTTAGGTCCTTGCAGGCACTATGAAACCTCATATGTACGGCAAAAATGTACCTGTATACCTGATACCTCCAGCCGCAGTACACTGCCCCTGGGACAATATTAATTGACTGCAGGCAAATACTGGTCACTACCAGTGGACCTCACTATAGGAAGGACACCCACACTGAATATGGGTCTCCTATTCATGTATCAATAACCCCAGTTGACAAACACCTTCA